GGATATCCTGACACCAAGGACACACAGAGTACACAAGTAAAAATTTTTGGAACCATGTCCTCAGATTCCTAATACCATACACTTTCTGCTGTCAATTTCATGGTTACTTGCCACAGACTTTGTGGAGTGGATAAGTTAAACATAAAACATCAAATATGGCAATAACCCTCAGCCCCTAATACAGTTCAGAATCTCAACTTCCTATTCATGATTATTAGGTTAGTTACACATCAGAAGATCCTAGTCAGAATAGGTCTTAACCAAAATAAATAATTTTCTTCTACCCCTCCCTCCACTCCTCCCCCATTGCATTCAGACAATAGAAGCCAGTTTTAGAGTTTAAAGCCGCTAATTACCAAAAGCCATTGGTTTAGGCACTTACTGACTTTAATCATTAAGAATAAAGAATTGCCCTGTGGGGAACGTGTTTTCCATGCATATGCTGCTCTAAACTGAAAACAAACTAGGTAAGAAAAATAAACAAACTGGGTAAGTGATTACTTTCTTTTTACTTACTTCATATGCTTTTTTATGTAGTAAAAAATTTTTTAAAGTTGAACTTCCCATGACCATAAATTTTTAAGTTCTGTTCGCAGCATCGTTTTTCACTTAAAAATTAAAAATTGTCTTTGTGTGAAAAATTAAAAATTTAAAAAGCAGAGTATTGAGAACATAGAAAGCCATGTAAAAGTAATAGGGAGAAATTAGCTCATTCAGGGTTTAACATGCTAATAGAGGGCAACAATGACTAGACCAGCTGTGCTATTGACCTAGGTCTTTGAGGCCTTTCAGGTTGCAAAGTAGCTATTATTCTCCTTAAGCATTTGCAGGTCAGGCATGGAAAGTTTTGAGCATGCTCTGACTGAAGTACTGGTTTGCATTCTGTAATTGCAGTAAGCAGAGCCAGCTGTGAACCTCTCAGGATTCCCCTCATTGGACTAAGAATTTAAGCATTTTGCTGAGTAGGCAATAAAGTTTTCTTCTCTTCACTGCCACCCTCCTTTCAAAAACTTACTCTTAATATGCTAAAAAGAAACAGCCTATGAAAATAAAAAATGAAGAACTTACGTAAACACAAATTTTAGTGCTTTTTTTTTTTTTTAAGACAGGGTATCGCTTTGTTGTTGCCCAGGTTAGAGTGCAATGGCACGATCTTGGCTCACTGCAGGCTCAAACTCCTAGGCTCAAATGATCCTCCTACCTCAGTCTCCCAAGTAGCTGGGACTACAGGTGTGCACCACCATACCAGACCTTTAGTGCCTTCTTGAAGGTCACACACACATCATCATATGGAAATTAACTGATACTATGTGTACTAGCTTCGTGGTAGCTGATATATCATAATCATAAATTAAATATTTGTTGAATGGATTGCATGCTAATCAGCTCATTTTTTGCAGAGTTCATAACGGAAATGTATCCAGTGTATCTGCTATTCCAGTAACTTTCCACAGGCAATAATGCAGTTTCTCTTAAGTCAGGGATACTTTGTGTGAAACCAAGAAATCAGAAGATGTAAATGACTTAAGACAAATATTATCACCATTTCTGGAAAAACACTACTGTCTGTGTTTTTGATGGTGAACATAAAAGCATTGTCTTCATTAGGTGATGAATATGAACATTTTTAGTCATCTATCTGGTGCCCTTAGATGACCAGTCAGATCAGATGCCATGTTTTTATGAAAAGATGGTGCTCTCATGTCTTGCCTCTAATGGAACAAGCTGCTTTTCCAAAGTTATTCTGCAGGTGGTGGATTCAGTAACCATTAGTTGGCATTCTCCCTTACAAGCCTCAGGTAACCCTGTGTACACACCAGGTTTATGGACCAGATGAGTAACACAATGGTTTATAGACCCAATAAAAACTGTTTAAATATCTGGTAGTGCTTTACAAATATCTCCATCCCAGATTTTGCGAATCTCCCCTGGAATCTATGCAGCCAAATGTGCAGTTGTTCTGTAACTGATGGTCGCCTGGATATCATTAGATAAAAGTGTAAGACCGGTTTTTTTGTGTGTGTGTGATACCAATTACTAAGGACATGATGATACACATCTTGAATTATTACATAAAAAGGATTAAAAGGCTAAATATCTATTTAAGAAATATCTAATGCAACTATAGTCGCTGTTCTCACTTCTCCATAGTCCTGTGAGTTTTTGTTCGTTCTTTATTCTTAGAGTATAAAGTGATCATTTTAGGAATGAATATCGTAGAAAGTAAATACAGGGAACAGAGAGCTTAATGCATTCGTTATTCATTCCTTTCCACCAATACTCTGAACACCTACAGAGTGTTCTAGGCTCACTGGGGAAACAAGAATCAATAAATCTAATTTTCTCCCCTTACTGACCTCATGATCAGTAGAACATCAACCCGAATAATCTCATATTGATTCCTCCTTCCTGTGAGTCCTCATGCATTCTGGAAGCCTTTGGAGGGATTTACCGTAGTCCATATTACTTTAGAGTTTATGGGCATTTCTTTTATGCTCCTTGGTAGATCTTGAATGCCTGGAAGGCAAAGGCTTTGTTTTACCTACCTTTATATCCCTGGTTCCCACTGTAGTAGGTACTCCATGCTACGTGCTTAACACATGTTTTTAAATAAAAGGTTCAATGGTTTTGTCATTAACAATATATAAGACTCTTAGCCAGTAATTTTGTATCTTTGGGGCCTGTTTCCTCATCTATGAAGGTAACACCTGCTATATTTCATGAAGCTATTATATCAGAATTAGATGCATTAAATTTTGCAAACTGAGAAGAAAGCATTGTACCAAGGTACAGACTTATTCTTATTAAAATTGAATATGTGCTTTCATTTAGACTTGAGTTGCCATTTAACTATGGCTGGTAGTTATGTCTGGGGGATTCTGTGGGATGTTACTATTAGTGGAGAACTCAGCAATCATATGCTTCCTAAAATTCTCTTCCTTATGGGGCTCTATTCTTTTTTTTTTTTTTTTTTTTGAGATGGAGTTTTGCGTTTGTTGTCCAGGCTGGAGTGCAATGGTGTGATCTCGGCTCACTGCAACCTCTGCCTCCCGGGTTCGAGCAATTCTCCTGCCTCAACCTCCCAAGTAGCTGGGATGACAGGCATACACCACCTCGCCTGGCTAATTTTGTATTTTTAGTAGAGACAGGGTTTCTCCATGTTGGTCAGGCTGGTCTTGAACTCCCGACCTCAGGTGATTCACCCACCTTGGCCTCCCAAAGTGCTGGGATTACAGGCATGAACCACCGCACCCGGCCACAGTCCTCAGTTCTTAAACACAGAATTAAAGAGTAGGATTTCATGAAGCTTACTAACTCCAGTTTATTCTTTAAAACTTTTAACCTCTGCCTTGTCCATAAATGTGAATTACTGTGGCGTATGGTTTCATTCAGTGTATGATAAATATTGTATGTACTTTAGGAAGGAAACTATAAGGTATATTTCTGGCTTGTCTTGAGGATGAAATAAATGGCCTCTGCAGTCATTTCCATCTCTGGCTTCAGTGATTAATGCATCCTAGAGGACCAACTTGCTTTTAGCTATAAGGCCAGTTTTTATCCTTATTTCATCCCTGGAGCGTTAGGCAGAAAGGGAACTGAAAAGTCATCAGCTTTTATTTTATGTGACTTTTTTCTACTCCTGGTTGGGTTTCACTTTTCTTTTTTTCATCCTGCTGTTAGTTCTTGTTGATATCTAGGTTTTTATCTAGGAGGACACCTGGGGTGATTGAGATAATGCGGGTGTGTATCTGGTGTTTGGAGGAAGACTATATACTCGGGAGGCTGAGAGGCCACAGCACTTCTTCTAGTGCCAAAAGTTCTGTTTATCTCATCATGTTACTCAGAGTCTCCAGGAAGCTTGCAGCCAATCAGGTTTCCTTGTTTGTGACAGACTTTTTTTTTTTTTTTTTTTTAAGGTATTCTTGCTCTGTGCCCCAGGCTGGAGTGCAGTGGCGCAATCTCGGCTAGGCTCACGACAGATCTGACTTGCAGTGTGTTAGGCAAAGTAGATGAGCATTTTGTGAAACAGTATGAGTGGAAATCAAAAGTAATTTTATCTAATTTTCTTTTGGATTTAGTTCTATCTCAATACCAACTTCTAATTCAGTTTTATTTTTGCTGATTTTCTAAAAAGATAGTTTTCATTGCCTGTGTGAATTAGCTTGTCATTAGATCTTGGAGATCTTTGAGATCAGTGGAGAATTTTCAACTTAGGCAGGAGAGTGGCTTTGTTACAAAAATAAATGTTGGTAATGGCTTATCGATATTATTATTTGAACCCATGTGTGATGCTTCCATTGCTATAGAAATATTCTGTTGTCTCATTTTAAAGAAACTATTATTTTACTTAACAAATATTGAGTGTCTGCAATATGTGACATAAAGGAGATGCAAAAAATATTTTAGACACAATATCCATAGTTAAATTGCTTATAAGTTGACTTTATTAAAATGTCCTACCATATAAGCATTAACATTCATATCTCAAATTACTAATAGGTGTCAGTAATTTTAAATGATCTTTAAAGTCATGCTGATCAGTAATTGTATAAAGAAAATAGAATCATGCTAATCAGGTGAATAGATGTGACAGATTGAGGTGTTGACATCAAGCATCTTTCTGGGGCAAAATCTAGAACTTATACTAGATTCTGAAAGTAATGATCCAGTAATGTTAAGAATCACTGGCTGGGTGCTGTGGCTCACGCCTGTAATCCCAGCACTTTGAGAGGCCAAGGCAGGCGGATCATGAGGTCAGGAGATCGAGACCATCCTGGCGAACATGGTGAAACCCCGTCTCTACTAAAAAAAAAAAAATACAAAAAAATTAGCCGGGCGTGGTGGTGGGCACCTGTAGCCCCAGCTACTTGGGAGGCTGAGGCAGGAGAATGGTGTGAACCTGGGAGGCAGAGCTTGCAGTGAGCCAAGAACACACCACTGCACTCCAGCCTGGGCGACAGAGCAAGACTCCATCTTAAAAAAAAAAAAAATCATTAATATAGATTTCTACTTATAATTTGTTTCTTCTTTTAGGGAAGGCAGTGTCAGAATTCTAGAGTTAAGTTGAAAAGGCATAAATTATGCACCTCAATGCTCTCCTTTCCAGCTGTATGATCTCGAGTTATCCAACCACAATGTTGTTTTTATGTATGAAATGGGCAGATAATCCCTTCACTCCTAAGTGTCAAATGAGATGAGCTACATGATTGGCCAGAATAAACTACAAAATATTTGCAGACACAAAGATTATTACTATTGCTTGGGCTTCTGCATCTGCCTATCCATGATACTTTGTTGTTGTTGTTAGTTGAAAATTTTATTCTATTACCAAGTAAATATATATACATATATTTTATCTTTCCAACGTTGCCAGCATAGTTTCTCAAAGAATGATGATTCAGTTTTTCCATGCCTTTGGAGGCCTTTGTTGTTAAATAAATCATTGTAAGTATCTAATGTACCATGGCTGCTGCCTGGTTTACATCACAGTGGAGGAGGGAGGAGGGATCATCGCTCAAGGGCAGAGCAGAGGATGTCCCTGGTATTTGTCAGATTCTACAGAGGGAACTTCGGGGAACGAATTCTGTTTCCTTATAATTGAAGTCAAAGGTAGACTCAGTGAGTGAGATTGAGGAAGAAATGGAAAAGTGGAAATGAATGTGATTTGACATTAGATTATGAGTTTTAATTTCTGTCTTGCCATCATGCAATCTTAAGCAAGTCATAATTCCTTTAAGACTGAATGTTAATTGTTTTAAAATGAAGAGTTTAAAGAATAATCTCACAAGATTATGTTAAGCATGAAATTGTCATATCTGTGGGATGAAACTTGTTGACTATAAAGTGATATACCAGTTTAGATGTTATTAATTATTAAGGCATAGTCATTTGCACAAAATTCTAAGGTGCAAAATAATTTGATCACTCCCTTGGTCTTCCTTTTGATGGGTTTTCAATACTGTTGTATTTATTCAAACATGTATGTAGTCCATATGTATGATTTACTGTTCCTTTGGAGACACAAGAAATAATGTGGAATGCATCATTAGTTAACAGCAAAATGCTCAAATTGGAAATTAGAGACTAACAGAAAAATGAGAAAGTTTGGGAGAAAAGGAAGGGTCACGTGGTTATACAAAAGAGAAACACAAATTGTGACTTCATTTTAGAAAACAACAGAAGTGGGACGGAGATGTTGGTGGCAACTGGGACTTTCAGAAGAAAAAAATTCATTCTGAATATGGAAAAATGGGAAACCAAATGGTGCAGAAGTGGAGACAATGCTTGTAACTGAATACAGTAACCGGTAGGAAATATTCATCCAACTAACAAATAGTTTCCAGGGACTCTTCCCTGCAGCTTACTGTGTAGAATTTAAACTAAGTAACTTAACAATTGAGAACATAACCTGTATCTACCCTTTGTCCCTTGCCCCCACTCCAAATATTACTGCTAATTAGAAGCACATGTTGAAGGAAAAACTCTAATAAGACATTCCAGTATAAGATCTGGGTTTGCTTTAAATCCCCCAAGTAGCCTAAAGCCCAACAGAAGATATTTAGCCTTTTGCCTTTTGTTTAAATGGGGATTATTTTGAATTATCAGTAGTGCAATACCCCCATCCTGCTGTCCTTTAGTGTAAATTAAGGCAAAGGACATAATAGTATCAATAAAAGAGCAAAAGTAAAAAATAAAACGCATAAGATTATTAATGGGTGACAGAAAATTGCTATATACATCATTGCCGGTAGATTAAAAGAGATGCCCTAACAGGGCAAAAGAACTCTGTCGAACTTCTGGCATTTTATCCTGCATACACTGATACATTAGTGTTAGGATGTTACTTCGGGCTACCTCACAAAAGCTTGCTTTCAGCATGTTAAGCCTTGTATAGCTGATTTCATGCCAATATTGGGAACCAACCTAAATCCAGAATTCATTTCAGTCTGCAACAATGCCACATGGGCAATTGGAGAAATCTCCATTCAAATGGGTATAGAGATGCAGCCTTATATTCCTATGGTGTTGCACCAGCTTGTAGAAATCATTAACAGACCCAACACACCAAAGACGTTGTTAGAGAATACAGCAATAACAACTGGTCGTCTTGGTTACATTTGTCCTCAAGAGGTGGCCCCCATGCTACAGCAGTTTATAAGACCCTGGTGCACCTCTCTGAGAAACATAAGAGACAATAAGGAAAAGGATTCAGCATTCCGTGGAATTTGTACCATGATCAGTGTGAATCCCAGTGGCGTAATCCAAGATTTTATATTTTTTTGTGATGCCGTTGCATCATGGATTAACCCAAAAGATGATCTCAGAGACATGTTCTGCAAAAGATGATCTCAGAGACATGTTCTGCAAAAGATGATCTCAGAGACATGTTCTGTAAGATCCTTCATGGATTTAAAAATCAAGTTGGCGATGAAAATTGGAGGCGTTTCTCTGACCAGTTTCCTCTTCCCTTAAAAGAGCGTCTTGCAGCTTTTTATGGTGTTTAATCTAATACACTTAAGCTGCAGTCCCAAAATTAGGGGTCCTTCAGTCTTGGAGACTATGAGGGAGCCTCTGCACCCAGGGAAAATGTTACCCTTTACAGGGGGGAAGGGTAAACCAGTAGGGAATACAGTACAATCCCAACCCTACTGGGAGGGGCGGGAGGGAGGTGTTGCCGTCACTGTATTAAGTCGATGTTGGGGAAAACCCTATTAACATCTGAAAAACTTGTGGTGGGAAATAAATGATTCCCAGTTACGCACCCCGCATGGGAATTGGGGAAGAAGGCAAAAAAAAAAAAAAAAAAAAAAAAAATCATCAGTATCCTACCTCACAAAAACAAGTAAACAGGTGGAATATGGGGCAATGGTTTACCCAAACAAGAAAGAACCAAATAAATGATCCTTAGGTGGAAAAGAAAAGAGGACCAATCCAACCAGCGCAACAATAAAGGAAACCCAAGAAAGGGAGTTTACAAAAAATAAGTAAAAAGCCTTTGTTTTTTTTTTATTAAATTTTTTTATATATATTCCCACCCATATGGGCCTTGTGCCATGTTTGGGTGAAGAAACTACAACAAAACCAAAAACTAATACAGTAAAATCAGCTGCCCTCCCCATAGTAAAAAGCCCAGGTTCCCCTTGGAAAGTTTACAATTTAAGGACCCCAAAAAAGTGGAAATAAAGCAACCAAACATAAAAATGAACCACCTGCATCTGGGTGAAATGCCAAAAAAAAAAAAAAAAAAAAAAATGAAAATGCCCCTGAGAAATTACTCAAGGGGGTTTACAAAAAATGAAATAAAAAAAAATAAAATTAAACTGTTTTTAATTAAGATTAAAAATTTAAAAAACCTCTTTAAATAAGCTTTTGGCATGCAACAATAACGATTTAATAGGGGTTTTATATAGAATAACTCAATCATCAAATATCAGTTGAAACGCAGGGGGGGTGTTGCACAGGCGTATCCCTTAATACTATTAACATAAATGGAACCAGAAAGAAATTAAAAAATTTTAAAGTGACAGCAACAATAATGTGGAGAGCCAAACATTTAAATCACTGACATTCCATATAAAAGCTTCTGCTTTGTTTATGAACTATGTCTAGTGCCCAAAAACAATTAAAAAAAAAAAAAGAAAAAGAAAAAAAAAAAGCCATTTGGAGCAAGGCCGCGGTGGCCCACGCGAGTAATCTTTCAGCAACTTTTGGGATGCCGAGGGCAAGCGACCACTTTGAAGTCAACATGTGAGATCCCAAGCGCGACCAATAACGTGAACACCCCTGTCTCTAATAATTAATATTCAAAACAAACTACCGCATCAGTGGTGCGCCCTGTAACTGCAGCGAACTCAGAGCGAGGCCAGAGAATCACTGAACCCGGAGGTCAAGAGGTCAAGTTGAGGCTCGAGATCGCACCAACTGCAACTCCCCCAAGAGTGAGAGGCCTTGATCTCAAAAAAAAAAAAAAAAAAAAAATTGATCAGATATTTTTAAATATTTGAAATTATTTAATGTAATTTAAATAAACATACAGCAAAATTCCCATTTTTGATGTATAGATCTATTCCTGTCAACAAATTCAGAGTAATGTTGACCACCACACAGAAACTAAGATACAGAGCAGTTACGTCACCACCCAAAATTCCCTCATGCAGTCCTTTTATAATCAACCCCTCCCTCCTGCCCAATCTGTGACAACCATGTTTTCTTTCTTCCTCAAGTTTTGCCTGTTGCGAGAGTCTATTAATGGGATCAAATAGTATGAAACATTTTATTTCTGGCTTCTTTCTGTTTTCAAATATTTTATATGGGTGACCGAAATCACATGGAAAGTATGTGATTATTTTCCTATGTTTTTTACATATCTGAAACTGTGCAATACTGCAGAAATTTCTGAATTCTTGTGTTTATTGTGAAACTCAATGTCCAAATTCTGAGACAAATTGTTGTCAAATTCTGCCGCTTAAAGATTATGCCTAATATGCCTAGAGAAAGTACTACCACCAAAAGTGCAAGTCTAGCTGTCATGTTTTTTAGGTGTCTCTCTCATTACTAAATCTGACTTTTGACTGAGTTTATGAGGAATAGTTATTGATATGTGATTATTTCAACTATCCCTTTATCTAGTCCTTTGGACAGGATTATTTATAAAAGAGATCTATGCAAATTTTTAGATATCTTTACATCATGTTGAGTCTTATCTTGCCCCAATAACTACTTTAAATCTTTTTTTATAACACTGTGTTCTGTCTGAATATTGTTTACGAAAGTATTCTGTAATGTGAGCTTGAAATTGTAGCAAAACCCATGTTAGGAAGGTAAATATCTAAAGGCAGAAAAGATAAGCTTCCCCAGTTGCCAAGAAAACCATTGTATGCAAATTTATGTTTATTAAATATTTGGTGACCAAATAACAAAATTGTTGAAAAGAGGAGATTGTCTTCACCCTGGGCAATAGGATGTGCATATCATTCACTTTTGGTTGGAAAAATAAACAACAACATGGGATTTTAGGATAGGAGGTCTTCAGCAGTCTCTTGAAAATAGCTTAAATCATGGGGATTAAAAGGCAGCAAAACCAGGTACAGATCACTTGATAAGAATAGTTACTACTTTTGGGACTTTTACAGCCAAGTTGACAGAACCAGCCACATCCAAATGGAATGAAAGTGCTATGGTTTGCAAATGAAGACTGAAATGCTACGGCCAAACAATACAGAATGGATCCTGAGCCCATAAAGCAATAGACATGTACTAAACATGAGATGAGTGAAAGAAAAAAATCATAAGTTTTCTTTTTGCAGTCATAAATGACAAAACTATTTAAAAATGATAGATAATTTTCTCTCAAGGAGTATGAGAAAAGTACCCAGTTGGTTCTACATATTTTATTTTCTTTCACAGATTTCTCTCTATATTTTTTTAAATTTCCAAAATTAATTCTAATAAAGGTGTATATTCTGGTTATTTTGAAAAAGAAAACACCACAATATTACTAATTCAGTTAAATCAGGAGTCCAAAACCCTCCAGGCCACGGAGCAGTACAAGTCCGTGGCCCATTAGGAACTGGGCCACACAACAGGAGGTGAGCGGCAGGTGAGCAAGCGACTGTGTTTACAGCTGCTCTCCATCGCCTGCCTTACTGCCTGAGCTCCGCCTCCTGTCAGATCAGCAGTGGCATTAGATTCTCATAGGAGCACAAGCCCTGTTGAGAACTTTGCATGCGGGGGATCTAGGTTCCGCGCTCGTTATGAGATCTAATGCCTGAGGATCTGTCACTGTCTCCCATCACCCCCAGACAGGACCGTCCAGTTTCAGAAAACAAGCTCAGGGCTCCCACTGATTCTACATTATGGTGAGTTGTATAATTATTTTATTATATATTATAATAATAGAAATAAAGTGCACAATAAATGTAATCCACTTGAATCATTCCCAAACCATCCCCCTACTCCACCCCCTCACAATCCCCACCGTAGTGCATGGAAAAATTGTCTTCCATGAAACCCTGGCACCAAAAAGGTTGGAGACCGCTGAGTTAAATCACACCTACAAAAAAAGCCAAAACTTGAACACTCCATCTTGGTGACTCCGTTGTAGGGTGATAATTTAATTTTATTGTAGACAGAGTTTCTAAGAGAAAATAATAAAGCTTCAAATTCTAATCTTACGAATCCAAAGCTCTAAATGTACCCATAAATGTTCTCATGTGTTTTGAGTCTGTGTCCAAAGTTTACCTTCATGTGTTGTGAGCCAACCTGCTTGCCTACATTTCCTCTTCTCCTCTCCTTCCTATCCTTTTCCTCTTTCTCATCCTTCTCTTCCTCCTTTTTGTGATGTTACCAAAACTTTAACGCTGAATTTTTACTTTGAATTTTTTTTTTTTTTTTTTTTTGAGATGGAGTCTCGCTCTGCCGCCCAGGCTGGAGTGCAGTGGCCGGATCTCAGCTCACTGCAAGCTCCGCCTCCCGGGTTCCCGCCATTCTCCTGCCTCAGCCTCCCGAGTAGCTCCCGGCTAGTTTTTTGTATTTTTAGTAGAGACGGGGTTTCACCATGTTAGCCAGGATAGTCTCGATCTCCTGACCTTGTGATCCGCCCGTCTCGGCCTCCCAAAGTGCTGGGATTACAGGCTTGAGCCACAGCGCCCGGCCTACTTTGAATTTCTTGAGACTAAATCACAGAAATTGTGGAACTGAAATCTTCACATGTTGATTTAGGACATGGAATTTAGAAAATATTCAGGCTCCTAAGGCAATTCATATAGTAAATTTTATACGTGAATGAATGAATCAGCATTTTGACAACACACCTATAGAAATACAGTGCTTTGAAAAAAAAATTTTTGTTGAAAATAAAGAATGTAGACCAGGCACTGCTACCATAAACATTTCTAGAATTGTAGAGATAACAAATAATTTTTTAAAATCCACTTCAGAATAGGATGTGGAAGGAAGCATACCTTCCATCACACTGGTCATGCTTTTCTGGAGTTTCAGCTCATGCCAGCTAAATGCCTTGTTATTTCCATAAGACAGGGATCTTGTCTCAATCATTCTTGCATTATGAAGTAGAGCAGTAGGTCTAGCACTTAGTAGGCACTTGTTGAATGTTTTGGAATAAACTAAATGATAAAGCCCATCTTGGGTCCCACATTGCCCTTAATTGTTGTCTTTTTCGTCTCCTCTACTCTGTGCCACTTTCTTGTTCTATACTTGTCTTACATGACTTTGGTACATTGAGTTCTGATCAATTATTTCTAGCTGAGTCATTTGAAATATGTATGTCACAAATCTTAGCTTAAATTTTAAATTTTTGTTACCATTCTGCATTTTTTTCTTTGCAAATTTATCTGATTGTATCTATTAGACTTTTGGTGATTTTCTTTAAAAGTTAGAAAAGATCAGGCCGGGCATGGTGGCTCACACCTGTACTCCCAGCACTTTGGGAGGCTGAGGCGGGCAGATCACCTGAGGTCCAGAGTTCGAGACCAGCCTGACCAACATAGAGAAACACCATCTCTACTAAAAAATACAAAATTACCGGGCGTGGTGGCGCATGCCTGTAATCCCAGCTACTCCAGAGGCTGAGGCAGGAGAATAGCTTGAACCCAGGATTCGGAGGTTGCTGTGAGCCGAGATCATGCCATTGCACTCCAGCCTGGGCAACAAGAGCGAAACTCCATCTCAAAAAAAAAAAAAAA